GGAAGGTGGCATGAATTCGTTTCCTAGACCTGCTCTAAGAAGTTCAAAATCAAGGTGTCAGCCAGTCTGGCTTCCTCTCCAGCTTCCCTCCTTGCCTGGCAGATGGCTGCCTTCTGTGTCCTCCCACGGTCCTCCCTCTCTGCACATGCGCGGTAGCTGTGTGCTAACACCCTCTTCTTGGACACCAGTCACAATGGAGGAAGACCCACCCACGTGACTTCATTTTATCTTTAAGTGTGTCTTTCATTAAATATTTTTTGAAATGTATTTTTATTCTATTTGAAAGGCAGAGAGAAAGGGCGGGAGGTGGTGGTGGTGGGATCTTCCATCCGTCGGTTCATTCCCCAAACGCCCTCTATAGCTAAGGCCGGACCTCATTGAAGCCAGGAGCTTGCAGCTCCATCTAGTGCCCCACATGGGTGGCAGGGACTCACATACTCAGTCATCCTCTGCCGCCTCCCAGGGTGCTCAGCAGCAGCAAGCTGGAAGCAGAGGTGGAGCTGGGACCCAACGTAGGCGCCCTCGTGTGGGAGGCGGGCATCCCAAGAGGCAGCTGAGCTGCTGCATCAAATACCCGCGCCTTCGTTCTATCTTAATTAACCTCCCGAAGGGCTCTGTTTCCACACACAGTCATGTTTAAGGGCCTGGCAGTTAAGACTTTCGACCATATGCATTTTGGAGGGACACAATGCAGCCCAGAACAGTGGTGACAATTGGGAAATGAAAGGATTAAGTCCAAGAACCAGTGTCTTGGGAGTGGATAAGAGAGAATTAGAACACGCATTGGTGTTCAGACAGTGGGACACCTGCATTTATTACTTCAGAGGAGTCTCTGCCCCTCAGGCTTTGGCCAAGTTTAAAGCAAGGCTTTGAGAGTGGGGGACTGGACAGGAAAAGGGGAACTGTGCGCCCAGGAGGCCAGCATTCCGGGGGTGTTTTCCCTGGAAGTGGCAGCCACTCAAGCTGAAGCAGGACTGGGGTCCAGGGACCTGTGGTCACAAGGCCCTCTGTGTTGCTCTTTGAGCCAAAGTCAGGTAAGACTGAAATGCTGGGAACATGAATGTGACTCTCCCGTCACTAAATCACGGATTTTGAATTCTGTTCCACAAATTTGCCTTCCTAGTGCCTCATCACTATGGTTACCATGTTTTCCAAACCAAAAACCTGAGACACATAAGCTGGCCATGGGACATAAATTCAAAACCTGAGGGTCCCAGGCCTTCACTCTGAGTAGTTAATGATGGTAGTAAGGTATACCAAGTGAGCCCATGTTGCAGTAATAACAGTAATAGCATAAACCAAGTGAATGCCTATTATATGCCAAATCATACACTGAGCCTTTAACATTTTTTTTAAGATTTATTTATTTGGAAGGCAGTGTGACAGAGAGAGAGGGAGAGTGCATGCCCTGCCCGAGGCTTAGGGCCCAGGACAACCAGAGCTGGATTCTGGACAGGTCGAGAACAACTTGAGTTAAGGGCTTACATCTCCTTTACTCACAGTGGCAGTGAGAAAGGCACAAGGAACAGTGGAGAGACCACAGAAGATAGCTGCCTTTGTGTCCATGGCAACAGCCAGACACACACACACACACACACACACACACATACACATCTACATACACACACAGCCACTCCGCCACAAACTAACTATAAAGGCAACCGTGAACATGTCCACATCCAAGCACAGGCAGCCATGCCTAGCTTGCGTATGAGTTTACTAAAGACAAAAGCGGTCCAGAGCCGATCCATTAGGTAACAGATTTGTGGGCAGCTGGCCAAGCAGGTGAGCCTGTCAGTTACCATGACACCAGTTAGCATAGATAGAGAGATGGGAGCACAGAGATATGGGGGGATGGGCAAAAGGCATGAACTGGAAAAGCACCATAGTCCCAACCTCATCTCCGAGAGAGAGAGAGAGAGAGAGAGAGAGAGAATATCTTCCACCTGTTAGTATACTCCCCAAAAGGCTGCAACAGCCAGGGTTAGGCCAGGCCAAAGCCAGGAGCCAGCAACTCCCACACCTGTGGCAAGGGCCCAAGTACTTGTGCCATCTTCTGCTGCTTTCCCAAGTACATGAGTGAGGAGCTGGATTGGAAGTTGGAAGAAGAGCATGTGGGACTGGAACCAGCATTCTGATACAGGATGCCAGTACCACAAGGGGAGGCTTAAGCCACTGCACCACAGTGCTGGCCTTGTTCTAGCAATACAGGGCAAAAATCAAGTCAGACACTTGTATACCATGTTTAAATCTTCAATCCATTTGGAATCACCCTTGAGGTATGTTGTAGAGAGGAAGGCGTTTCTGCTACATGGCTCTCAGTTCACTGAGGCCCTGTTGTGGTAGTGATCATCCTCTTCCCCACTGTGCTGCACTGTCACCTTTGTCACAAGTCAGGTGAGCAGACGTGGTGGTTATGTTTCCGGGGTCTCTAACCTGTTCCATTACTTTATTTATTGTTGCAAGGTTACCATACCAGAAAAGCTTGAGGACAGAAGCATTTTGCATTTTGGGTTTTTTTTTCACATTTTTGGAGTATTTGCATATACAAAATGAGGTATCTTGGGGGTAGGATCTGAATCTGTGAAACCTGGAATTCAGGTGCATCCTGTACACTACATACATACCCTGCAGATCAGTCTGTATGATGTTTGGAGTGCATCTGTGTTTTGACTGTGAGCTGTCAAGAGTTTAGGTGTGGAATTTTCCACTTGTGATGTCATGTTGGCATTCAAAAATCTTCATATTTTGGAGCATGTTGGATTTTGGATTTTCGGATTAGAGATGTCAACACGTATGTGTATCTGAAGAGCACATTTAACAGAAGTAACCACCTTATCCAAAGAGGTGAAACCGCATTAAGAATGAATGGAAGCCGGCGCCGTGGCTCAATAGGCTAATCCTCCACCTTGCGGCGCCGGCACACCGGGTTCTAGTCCCGGTTGGGGCACCGGATTCTGTCCCGGTTGCCCCTCTTCCAGGCCAGCTCTCTGCTATGGCCAGGGAGTGCAGTGGAGGATGGCCCAGGTGCTTGGGCCCTGCACCCCATGGGAGACCAGGAAAAGCACCTGGATCCTGGCTCCTGCCATCGGATCAGCGTGGTGCGCCGGCTGCAGCGGCGGCCATTGGAGGGTGAACCAACGGCAAAGGAAGACCTTTCTCTCTCTGTCTCTCTCTCTCACTGTCCACTCTGCCTGTCAAAAAAAAAAAAAAAAAAAAAGAATGAATGGAACAAGGTTCAAGTGAGACAGATGTGGATTTATCATCATTCCAACGTTCATTAAGAACGTTGGTTCACTCCCCAAATGGCCACTACGGCCAGCGCTGTGCCTATCCGAAGCCAGGAGCCAGGTGTTTTCTCCTGGTTTCCCATGTGGGTGCAGGACCCAAGCACCTGGACCATCCTCCACTGCCTTCCTGGGCCACAGCAGAGAGCTGGACTGGAAGAGGAGCAACAGGGATTAGAACCCAGCACCCATATGGGATGCCGGCACCACAGGCGGAGGATTAACCAAGTGAGCCATGGTGCTGGCCCTTGGCTAGTAATTATAACTAGCCATCAAATCCCAGTCTTTACTTTCATTCTACTTGGCAAATACTAGCTACCCTGGGATTATGAAGGAAAAATACACAGAAAGGTAGCAACTTGACTAAAGCATGACTAGGAGATTAAATCGGGATTAGGATGCACTGCTCGTTCCTTAGCTCAGACGCTTGCATTTCCTGACTTGCTGCCAGGAATCTATAAATGGTGGAAGCAGGTTTTGCAGGCAATTTATATCTCTAGCAAGAACGGGTCCTCCAAAAATTATTTTTTTCTTCTCTCTCCTGTCTGTCTCTCACCTTCTTCTTACCACTTCTATTTTTTCTCCACCTCAATTTCTTCACTTCACCTTTCTTTTCTTCTTATGGTTTAAACCCAACTGCTTGTGCTGCTTCCTGGAGCATTTCCCTGCAGCTCCGTGGAAGGCCGAGCACCAAGCAGTGTCTGGGAAGTGAAATGGTCCTGCACTTGCAATGCTCTCGTACAGCAACCCAGCCTGCTCACAGTGGCTGTGCAAGGTTACCTTGACTCAGAGATGGTTCGACTATTTGCAAAGTGATTTTAAATCCACCCTACAGCTATGTTTGGGGAAGTGGGCGGTTGGCATGATGGTTAAGAAGCCTCTTGAGAGTCGAGTCCTAGTCCCAGCTCCACGCCCGATTCCAGCTTCCTCTTCACGTGCACCCAGTAGGCAGCAGGTGCTGGCTCAGTCCTTGGATGCTTGCCACCCACATGGGAGACCGGGATGGAGTTCCAGGCACTGATTTCTGTGTCGCTCAGCCCTGTTGGCTCTAGGCATTTGGGAAATGAGCCAGCAGGTGGGAAACCTCTGTTGGTCTTTCAAAAAAAAAAAAAAAAAAAAACCACAACAACAACCCCCTCCCCCGCCCTGAATACAGTGGTTCTATCATGCCCTAGCTAGAGCACGTGGTGCGTACCAGCTCATAGCCGGATGTGGTGCCCAGGTCTGCCCCTGTTGTGGACGGATGCCTCAGCTGTCACTCAATGAGGGCTGCAGGCACTGGCATCATCTGCCGAGTCCCCTTGCTCTGCTTCAAGGCTCCGGAAGCAGCAGTTATGATTCCCACGTGCTGTGCCTGATCAGCTATGTTTTATTTGGGTCCTAAAGAATAGGAGAGACTGAAATTTAACATCAGTCATTTTTTTAAAGACCTGAGCTCATGCAATTCCTCTGGGGAGCTGAGAGAAGAAAACATAGGGAAAGAAGCCCAAAATTCTCTCTGGAGGCACATTTCACACTAACGGTTAATATGCAGAAGTCATTTAAATGGAATAAAGCTTTTAATTTCAGGATGCATAAGGAATGCCTGAAGACCATTTTTAAAAGCAGAAATAACCATTTTTCCTCCACTTGCAGAATCTGAGGCTGTTTTTTAGCTTTATTAAATGCTATATGCCTCAGGCTTTGCTTTTTAATAATTCCATTTTCCCTGGAACTGTAACTTGGAACCATTCTGGGATCTAATAGTGCCCTGGAATTTTAAGCATGTGAGGAGGATAATTGAGAAACTCCATTATGTTTGCCTCCCCCAGTTCCTCAGAGAGCAGTTACAGACACGTCTGGCACCATCTAAAACCCAGAGCCCTTCACACTTTGGGCAGAGTCCAAGATTTCTAAACCTCTGTGTCCTGGTCACAGACCATGAATGCGGCTTGTGTCTGGGAGCAAAGTAGAAAGCGTGGAAAGAGAAGTGGGGGGGCCTTTGAGTCGGTGACGGGACCCCCCACCCCAGACCTGGAAGGGGCAAAAACAATGACCGCTCTCTTCACGCCCCCGGATTTCTGGAATTCAGGTACAGAAAACGAAGATGCTCTCTGCGGGTCTAGAACTGGATTCTTCCGCTTCTTCCGGGTCTCCGCCCCTCCCCTCGGGCCACCCCCAGCTCCTCTGTCCCCTCCCTAATGCTAACGTCGAAGAGAGGTGTGGAGTCCGCTGGAACCTCTGCCCCGCGCTCCGAATTCCAGGAGGTGCATTTGCGGGCGTGCCCGTTCCTAGAATCCACTGCCTGCTGGCGTGGGCTGGAGGTTGGAGGCTTCGTTCATTAAAAGTCCGGGCTCGTGTAACGAATCCGTCGCTCTAAGGAGCCCGAGCCCGAGCTGCATGATAAAATCCCCCGGCTGCTGCGAGACGGAGGTTTTGCCGTGGTCTCTGGGACACGAGACAGCTGTCTTGTCCGCTTCATCCCCACACACAGCCCCATCCGCTGCCGATAGGACTCTGCAGAGCCCATTTCAACATCAGATTGGAAGGGAATGGAAAGTTGTAAGCAGAAATGAAGAGAAACTCCACTGGAATTAATTTCGTTTTCTCGGCAGCTTGCTTTGCGGAGGCTAAATTTATTCAGCTGAGAGTGTTGAGGCAGTGGGTGGGGGTGGGGTGATGTTTACCAGCCCTCCTTGGTCACAGCCCTCAGACTCAGCTCCAGGGGAAATCAAACGGCCAGCCATTGTGTAATGAGAAGTGAACTGCACGGGGAAAACAGACAGGGCTGGTGCACACCCGCATCACTCTGCTAATTTACTTCTCGGCTTTGTGTTGCCTGCTGTCCTGGTGCACCCCGAGCCGCAAACTCACTGCAATCCAATAGCTTGCATGTTCTTCTCTTACACATGGTAGGCTCCTTCAGAGCCAGAATCACGGCTTGCTTCTGTGTATCCTGGGCCCCAGTGTAGAACAGTGATGGAGAGCATGAACAAACACCCAGGCAGAATTCCCAGGGACAAGGGAGTAAAACATCAGAGAAAGTGTTTTCGAAAATTAGAAAAATCATGCACGTGAGAAGTCCTTGTCCATTGCCGAACATTTCAAATAGTGAAGGAAATCAGAATTTTCAGAGGACCGTGTGCATGGTCGAAAATCCCTTTTTTCTGCTTTTATTTGTGCGAGGCTGAGTTTTGGGTCACCTTGCCCCGGCTTCAGTGCCCACTTGTTGGGTCAAATGCCAGTGGAGGTGTGGCTGTAAAGGCGTTTTGAAGACACGTGGGATTAATACTTAAGCGAGTAGACTGAGTAGAGCACATTGTCTTCTACCGGGCTGGGCCTCATCCGAACAGCGTGGAAGCCTTACGAGCAACACCTGACGCCCTGTGCGGAAGCAGGGGCTGTGCCTCTGGCTGCCTCTGGACATGAGCGGCACCATCAGCTCTTCCCTGGGAGGCTCTCCACCCCGCAGACTTCAAGCTTACCCCAACCGGTGAGCTACGCCTTCAAATCAGTCTCTTTCTCTTTCCATCCTACTGGTTTAGTTGCTTTGGAAAACACTGATATATAAAGTAACATTTACCTTGTTTGAGAACATCAATGTAATTGGGAACTGACAATGAGTGTGTTGGCTGTTCTTGCTACTATTGAAATGTTGACGCTTTTTTTAAAAAAAGATTTATTTATTTGAAATGTAGAGTTAGAGAGCGAGAGAGCGACAGAGTGAGAGAGCGCAGGCACTTCCATCTGCTGGTTCACTCCCCAAATGGCTGCAATGGCCGGAGTTGGGCAGATCCGAAGCCAGGAACCAGGAGCTTCTTCCGGGTCTTCCATGTGGTGCAGGGGCTCAAGCACTTTGGCCATCTTCCACTGCTTTCCAAGGCACATTAGCAGGGTGCTAGATTGGAAGAGGAGCAGTCAGGACTGGAACCGACGTCCACAGGGGATACCAGTGCCGCGGCAATGCTGCACCCTCTGCCCCAGAAATGTTAACACTTTAACAAGGAGTCCTGCAGGGAAATAGAGGAGACACCTGGACATTTGCTCCGCCTAAGGGAACACACGTGAACATTTTTCTAGTCTGATCACTCGGGCCTCATTTTCAGCCACAGATATTCTTCAAGGGGAAGGTGACACCGGCATGTGCTTGGGTTATTGACTGATTAGCTAGCAAGGCAAAAGTGGCATCAGATCTGAGAGGCAAATAACAGTGTCCTTCATCCTCCCCAGCCATCTAGATGGAGTCAATAACTAATTTCCTATTGAATGCTGACTCTTTAGAGTGCTGAATTACCTCTTACTGGAACTGAAAAACAAGTTGAAGAGCTTATACCCTCGCTATAAAAGCACACTACCTACAAAAGGAGTCCAGATGAAACCCACATGTGGACAGCAGATCCATGCTGGGGAATGATACCTACTAGGTAAATGAAGTTTCTTACAATCTTAGCTTTTTCATCCAGTTCTGAAATTTCATTCTAACGTAAAACAAATAGTATTTGGAGTTTTATGAAGCAAAAATATTGCCTATTATTAAGGAAATACAAAAAGGATACTATATCAAATAGCATCTTTTTTATTTTTAAAATTTTTTTGACAGAGTGGACAGTGAGAGAGAGACAGAGATAAAGGTCTTCCTTTGTCGTTGGTTCACCCCCCCCCCAATGGCCGCTGCGGCTGGCGCACCGCGCTGATCTGAAGCCAGAAGCCAGGTGCTTCTCCTGGTCTCCCATGGGGGTGCAGAGCCCAAGGACCTGGGCCATCCTCCACTGCACTCCTAGGCCACAGCAGAAAGATGGACTGGAAGAGGAGCAACCGGGCCAGAATCCGGCACCCTGACCGGGACTAAAACCCAGGATGCTGGCGCTGCAGGCGGAGGATTAGCCTATTGAGCCACGGCGCCGGCCCTCAAATAGTATCTTTATAAATCCAAGAATGACTTAATGGAAACATTGGGGAAATATCTTAGGCATATCTAAATGAAACAGACCTAGACTGTTTAACAACAACAACAATGAAAAGAGTTATTTATTTGAAAGGCAGAGCAAACAGACACACAAACAGGGAGAGAGAGAAACCTTCCATCTGCTGGTTCTCTCCCCAGATGGCTGCAGTAGTGAGAGCTGGGCCAGGCTGCAGCCGGGAGCTTGGATCTCCATCTGGGTCTTCCATGTGGGTGGCGGGGACCCAACCACCAGGGCCATCATCTGCTGTCTTCCAGGTACGCTAGCAGGCAGCAGGCTGGGAAGCGGAGGAGCTAGGACTTGAACTAGCACTCTCATACGGGATGCAGCTGACCAAGTAGCTGAGTCAAGGCCTTCATTTTGCAGAGTGCAGACCTCAGTTCCTGGAGGTAGGATGCTTTGCCCAGTCATTTAGCCAGGGACTTTGATGAGTTGATCTATCTAGTCACACAGCTAGCTATATGGTAAGATTACTACCTAAAAACAGCTCTCGCTACCAAGTTTCTGCTCTGGGTGTTTGGAAATGGGGTAAATGACCCACTAGTTGTCTGGTTCTGGCCTCAGAGTCTGATGGTGAAGAAACTGCAATTATAGCCTCTGGCTCTGGGCTGCTCCCAGGTTGCAGGTGCCGGGGGGGGGGGGGGGGGGGGGAGGGCAGCTCAGCTCTGAGTCACACCTGTGAAGCTGGTGGGCTCCGGGCAGTCAGATTCCTGAAACAGAACCTCAGCTGGTTTCATAGGGGAAATGGGCTAGAACCAGGAGGCGGGCACAGCTGTAGCTACTTGCAATGCTGCTCGGGGGTTATTCACAGAGCAGCTCAGAAAGTGGAGCTGGAACTGAAGGGCGTTCAAGGGGTCTCTCGAGTGTGACCCCTAGGCCTAGAGCATGATCTACACTCAAGTGTGTTAGAATTTTAAATCCACATGACCAAACTGTGTCTCACAATCTCAAGGTCCCGATAGGCCCTATCCAGTCCACTGTTCTCTGGAAGCAGGTTGTAATTTAGACAGCCCCAGGGCAAGTTTGATTAGGCCGTCCATCCACTTCCAGGCATTGCACTCTGAGCGTTGTTTTACAGTCATCATTGACTAGTGCTCGTAAAACACCAGTTCTCCTTTACATACTACTGAGTCTCAGCTGTAATTTTCACAATGCAGTTTCTTCTAATTCAGCTGTCATTCCAGAACTTTTTTTTTTAAAAAAAGAAGTATTTATTTATTTGAAAGGCAGAGTGACAGAGAAAGAGAGAGACAGAGAAACTTGCCATCTACTGGTTGGCTCCCCCAAATGACATCAGTCAGGTCTAGTCTGGCTGAAGCCAGGAGCCGAGAACTCCATCCAGGTCTCCCACATGGGTAGCAGGGGCCCAAGCACTGGGGCCGTCATCCACTGCCTTTCCAGGTTCATCAGCAGGAGGCTGGGTCAGAAGTGGAGCAGACAGGACTACAAATGGCACTCCGATGGGAGATGCGGCATCCCAAGCAGTGGCTTAACCCACCGGGCCACAACACTGGCTCCTCCATCTCTCTTCAGGATTAGGTTAGAAGGTAACCATTGGTCAGCGTTGCTAGGGCAATGGATCTATCTCAGAACAGAACCCAGTGACTGAGTAGGTGTTGAGACAGTCGGTGGAGGTAAGCAAGGTGACCACTGTTTTGCCCTTCCCACCTGGATGCAGGGTGGGCAGCAAACGCCTGCTCAGCGGGGGAGTGGGCTGCCTGTGCCCTGAGAAGCCATGGTACCACACCAGGTCTGGTCCCCGGGGATCACAAGGTTAGCAGTGTTCCCCTGTTTGAAGCAGTACTCAGCGTGAGTCTCGCACTGGTTTTGTTGATTGACCGCTGCACGGAACGCTGCCCAGCCCCAGGTCTTTGTCCTTCCCTGGTGCAAACTCCAGGTCTTCCTGCCTTGGCTCAGTGCCCTTCATGTGTGCACCTCACTGCCACTCACAGGCAGTGCCTTCAGTGACCCAAAAGCGAAAGAACAGAGTGATTCCTAACACACCGAGCGTCTGTGCAACATCACGCTTAAGCAATATCCTCAAACTCTTTCTTTGGCAAAATGCCATCCATGTTTCTTTTTTTATTTTCCTAATTTGTTTAAAGAGACTTAGTTCTTTATTTCAAAGAGTTCCAGAGAGAGAGAGAGAGAGATCTTCCGTCAGCTGGTTCACTCCCCAGATGGCCACAACAACCAGTGTTGAGCCAGGACATTGTCAGGAGCTTCATCCAGGTCTCCCACAGGGTGATGGGGACCCAAAGACTTGGGCCACATTCCACTGCTTGTCCCGGATCATTATCAGGGAGCTGGAATGACAGTGGAGCAGCTGGGCCACAAACTGGCGCCCATGTGGGATGCTGGCATCACAGGCAGCAGCTTAACCTGCTGCACCACAACCCTGGCCCCATCCGTGTTTCTTTGGTGGATTTTGAGTTTGGTTTAATGTCAGCTCTGGTTGTCCCATTCATTTCCCTCATGTCCCTGCCAATTACAAGATCATAAACATCGTGTTCTTTAACACTCCTAAGAGCCAAACCAAAAACTCTGAGAGGACTTCAAAGAGCTCACAGGAAATACATATTATGAAAAACCAGGCATGGATTTGAAGAACTGTTGCACTACAATAGATTTATCTTTGAGTTACATTCTCCATGAACTCTCTGAAGTCCCCTCATGCTTCCCTGCTTCCTCTTGCTCCCTGTGGAGGTCTAACCTGTTGGGGTCATAATTTCTATTCTCCCCCACGTGTAGGAAAGTCTGCTAACCATTGCCCATGTAATTAGCAAGACATTCATGCTTGCTTCTGCTGTATCTGGTTCTTGTAAATCAAATTATTAGACTTAGATAACAAGGAAGAGGCTCGCTGGTGTAACTCACGACAGTAATCCCCAGGGAGGGCAGACAGTGAGGAGAAAGGGTCTCTCTGCCCAGGGCCTGCTTCCATCCCAGCATGGTCAAGGCTAGGATGGCCGGATAGCCAGGGGGAGAGCAGACCAGAGACGCTGTCATTCAAGACAGGAGATGCACTGATGGCCCAGATGCGGCACTGTCTATTCATTCCTTTCTTATTTTCCATTTTCTATATATATTTATTTATTTGAAAGGCAGAGTGACACAGAGAGGGAGAGACAGAGATCTTTTATCCACTGTGTACTTCTCAAATGGCCACAATGGCCAGGGCTGGGACAGGCTAAAGCCAGGAGCTCAGAACTCCATCTGGGTCTCCCACATGAGTGGCAGGGTCCTATGTAAATGAGCCACCTTCCCCTGCCTTCCCAGGCACATTAGCAGGGGGCTGGATTGGAAGTGGAGTGGCCAGGATTCAAACCAGCACTCTTGTGGGAAGCTGGTGTGGCAGGTGTACCGCAATGCTGGCCCTTCTCATTTCTTTCTCTGGCTGAGTGGGAACTGCTTTTTGTTCAGGTTGAAAAGTTAACGCAATTAGTAGTATTTGAAAAATGATTGAAGAAATGTGACTGCTTTTACAAGCCAGAGGTCTTCAGCAACAACATGTAATTTTTATATGTAT